CGGTGCGCTGCTTCCCCTCTCCTTCCTCCCACGATATGCCAGGCCCTGTCTGGACCCTGGTGTGGGAGACCCCAAACCTGGAGATGGGCTGACGTCATGGTCTGGACTGGAGCCGCTGACCGGAGCTGGATCAAGCACCGGTGGAGCGGACTGCTCTGGCTCCGGAGTGGAGCCGCTGACCGGAGCTGGACTGGACCCCGGTGGAGCAGACTGCTCTGGCTCCGGAGTGGCGCAGCTGACCGGAGCTGGATCAGGCACCGGTGGAGCGGACTGCTCTGGCTCCGGAGTGGAGCAGCTGACCGGAGCTGGAACAGGCACCGGTGGAGCGGACTGCTCTGGCTCCGGAGTGGAACAGCTGACCGGAACTGGATCAGGCACCGGTGGAGCTGACTGCTCTGGCTCCGGAGTGGAACGGGCACGGGCCGTGCCGGACTGGACAAACGCACCACTGGCTTGGTGCGGGGGACAGGAACAGGCCGGACCGGGCTGGCGACGCGCACCACTGGCTTGGTGCGAGGGGCAGGAACAGGCCGGGCCGGGCTGGCGACGCGCACCACTGGCTTGGTGCGAGGGCCAGGAACAGGCCGGACCGGGCTGGCGACGTACACCACTGGCTTGGTGCGAGGGCCAGGAACAGGCCGGACCGGGCTGGCGACGCGCACCACTGGCTTGGTGCGAGGGCCAGGAACAGGCCGGACCGGGCTGGCGACGCGCACCACTGGCTTGGTGCGAGGGACAGGAACAGGCCGGACCGGGCTGGCGACGTGCACCACTGTCTTGGTGCGAGGGACAGGAACAGGCCGGACCGGGCTGGCGACGCGCACCACTGGCTTGGTGCGAGAGGCAGGAACAGGCCGGGCCGGGCTGGCGACGCGCACCACTAGCTTGGTGTGAGGGGCAGGAAAAGGCCGGACCGGGCTGGCGACGCGCACCACTGGCTTGGTGCGAGGGACAGGAACAGACCGGACCGGGCTGGGCTGGCGACGCGCACCACTGGCTTGGTGCGAGGGGCAGGAACAGGCCGGGCTGGCGACGTGCACCACTAGCTTGGTGCGAGGGGCAGGAACAGGCCGGACCGGGCTGGCGACGCGCACCACTGGCTTGGTGCGAGGGGCAGGAACAGGCCGGGCCGGGCTGGCGACGCGCACCACTGGCTTGGTGCGAGGGGCAGGAACAGGCCGGGCCGGGCTGGCGACGCGCACCACTGGCTTGGTGCGAGGGACAGGAACAGGCCGGACCGGGCTGGCGACGCGCACCACTGGCTTAGTGCGGGGAGCAAGAACGGGCCGGACCGGACTGGCGACACGCAACACTTGCTTGGTGCGAGGAGCGGGACTGGGTTCCTTTATTAACCCCCGCTCCTTCTGCTGCCTAACCAGCTCCTCTCGCCGTGCCTCTACACTTTCCTTCTCCCTTTTAGCCTCCTGTAGCCTCGTCATCCACCCCGTGTGCCCCCCAATTTTTTTTTATTGGGGTTGCCTCTCGGGTCTCTGTCGTCGGCACGGTTCGCGCCGTTTCACCTCTCCTGCCTGGGCATCTACCTTCGCCCATGGCCCTTTCCCCGCAAATATCTCCTCCCATGACCACCATTTGCCCACCTGTGACATGGCTATTCGCTCTTCCTGGGCACACTGCTTGGTCCTCATTTGGTGGGATCTTCTGTCACGTTCGTTGATGAACGGGTCAGACCAAGGCGCAGCGTGATATGCATACATGTTTATTTGAACCGAATAAACTACGACAAAAACAACAAACTAACGACACGTGAAGTCCAAGGTACACAAACAACATACCTCACACGGAACAAGATCCCACAACCCACTAGTGCCAATAGGCTGCCTAAGTATGGTCCCCAATCAGAGACAACGGGCTACAGCTGCCTCTGATTGGGAACCACACCGGCCAACATAGATCTACACATAATAGATCAACACATAGAAAATCCGACATAACAAAGAATATACACACCCTGACTCAACATATACGAGTCCCCTGAGTCAGGGCGTGACATAAGTTAAATAACCAGAAATATCTTAACATTAAAATCTGCAATAATGCTCATAATTAATATTTTCATCTCTTGAATCTATCTAAAATAATACAAACTGATGGTTTCAATTTGGGATAAACTTGACCTGTAATCTTGAGATAGTTAACACTTCATACAGTGAAATACAGTATATTTATTTATTGCATATGGCTTTCAAATAGCATGGCGGTGAGGTGCATAGAAGTGTTAGGAAAAGATGGGATTGAGAGGTAGAGAGAGAAAGAGAGAGAGAGTGAGAGAGAGTGCTTCAGTGAAATGCTAGGACTTGGTGGATAATAATGGACTGAGAGAAGAACCCTGTACTCAAGGCCTGCAGAGCTGAATGGGAATGATTTAGCAAGATGACACAAAAGTACATCCTGAAGTGCCACAACAATCCTCGGTTCACTTATTAACAGAGAAATGTCAATTTCTGGTCATTTACAGAAAGAAAGTCAAAAATTTCAAAAATATCAAAATGTAAATAAGACTCTTAGATAAGGGATTGTTTGAAAGTGTCAAACACTCATCCTAGGTTTATGTTTCTCAAATGACAAATTCTTACTATCAATGGTTACAGTATTGTGTGTGTGTGTGTGTTTGTGTGTGTGTGTGTGTTTGTGTGCGTGTCTGTGTGTAGCATGTGTAATAGCATCCATGTGACAGGGACGTATTTGGCTCCTTGAACGTGAAGGGCACCTTCTCAGGCCGGTACTCCGTCAGCGCTGACTTCAAATGTCTGGGGCCCAAAAAAGTCCTCAGGTAAGTGGAGAGGAAGGGGATGGGAGGACGTCTCCAGCCTGGTGGGATGTATCTGCAACAATGGGAATTCTCTCTCTCTCTCTCTCTCTCTCTCTCTCTCTCTCTCTCTCTCCTCTCTCTCTCACACAAACCTCCCGTCAATCTCTCTCTCTCGCTCTCCTCTCTTTCCCTCCTCTCTCTTCACAAAACTTCCAGTCAAAAACTATCTCTATCTCGTCCTCTCTCCTCTCTCGTCTCTCTTCTCTATTTCTCTCTCCTCTCTCTCTCTCGCTCGCGCAAAAACTCGGAGTAAATAGCCTATAAGCACGAGCGCCTCTCGTGAAACAACGAGCGAAAAAAGCAAGGAGAGACTAGCAGGAGAGAGACGAGCAGAGGGCGAAAGAGAGAGAGAGGGAAGGAGAGAGAAAAAGGAAAGAAAAGAGAGGAGGAGAGAGAGAGAAAAAGAAGCGAAACGAGAGAGAAGAAAAAGGAGAGAGAGAGAGGAGAGAGAGAGAGGAAGAGGAGAGGAGAGAGAGAGAGAGTAGAGAGGAGAGAGAGAAGAAGAGAAAAAGTAAAGCCCAGAGATGAGAAAGACTCCGAGAGCGGGAGAGAGAAGCAACCCAACCTTCCACGATCTACAACTCTCCTTGAGAAGACTCTCTCTCTCGCTCTTCCCCAACCACTTCTCTCTCTCTCTCCCTTCCCCATCTCTCTCTCTCTCTCCCACTTCCCACTTCCCGTCTCTCTCTCTCTCTCTCTCTCTCTCTCTCTCTCTCTCTCTCTCTCTCTCTCTCTCTCTCTCTCTCTCAGAGAGGCCCTCCACATGGCCTCCACCCTCCTCCAGGTGGCAGGTCACATGTTGATCTGATCAAGCGGATCATCGAGGGAGCAGAGTTCTGGCAGCCCCAGAGGGTGGAGGCCGCAGAGTGCTGGAACTAAGGCAGTACTGGGACTGACCGCTCTCTAATGACCAAATTAATCAACTTGAGTGTATGTTTATGATTGAGTTATGCAATGTTGTGTGTTGTGATCAAACAGGAGGATAATTACACATTGTTTAGCTTTTTTATAAGGTTAGTTTTAAAATAGGATGTATCTTTCTCTAATAATTCTCAGAATGTACCAGGAAAATCCACAAATGCAAGCAATTAATTAAAAAAAACTGAGTATGCATTATTTGTCACTTTCTTTGTAGTTTCTAATCACTGTCTCATCTTGTGTTCAATAAATGCTTTCAGTTGTTACATCCACTCAGTCCACTATCAGAGACACCCACTTGCAGAACATGGAGAAACAGTTCTGTTAATTCATAAAAGGGTATGAGAAAACCTGCCCAGCACTTGAGGAACCAACAGAACTCAACATAATCTGAGCCTTTAGATACTGTACCTTTAATTAGGCTATAACTGAGTTAATTAGTTTCTTACTCATGATAAGACCACACAAGATCTGCCAAAAGACAAGGAAACAGACTGCATAAGCAGAATATGAGGTCAGGTAGTGAATATATTGAGTAACATTACCAACAACATGATCAAATATTAAACTGGTAGCATCTGTTCTGTCTAAACAAGGGTTGCATCCCAATAATCTCCCCTTTCTCCCGAAGTGAGCACTTGTTCACTTCCCTGGATTTGAACGAAAATGACTGGTATATGGACACTTCACCTACATCAATCCAATGCTTTTAATTTTGTGGGGAGTAGTGAACAAGTGAACACTTCAGGAGGAAAGAGAGATTCTTTACATGCTGAACATATCAAACGAGGAACATCAATGCAATGTCATAGTTAGAAACTTCCCAGCACAAACCTGTGATAGAGCTTGAAACATTCATTGACATTTGAATTAATAACTATGTGAACAGGAAGTTAGTAGTGCTAAAACTACAGCAGACTGTAGAACTTCATCATAAACATAATCAACAGCTTGTAGCATACAACAGAATTCTGTCTCATTCGTGACAACTCCTAACATGTAGCCTAACAGTCCATTTGTATCAACCTCCAGGGCTGTCCAGTAACATTATAGCAGGGGAGTGTCTCAACACTCATGGCTTCCTTTTCCATCGTCACCGCAAACAGGTAAAAGGTTAAGATAGACTTTCAAGTTTCAACATGTAATTTCACCTGTTAGGTCATGACAGATCAGTGCTTGTGAAGGAGAGAACAAAACAAGGAGAGGAAGCCTCTTCACACTATTGAGATATAACCCAAGTCTGTCCCAGCGGTCACTTCTGCTTCACGCCATTCACAAGTTTCCAAGCGCCTGCTCCCTCCTCCTCGCTACCAGCCTCCCCATTAGCACCACGAGTAACGGGACCCAAGGACAGCATGGTGGACTCTGTTGGATCCGTTTCTCCAGTCATCAACTGGTCCCTCTCCCGTTTCATCTGCCACTCCCTGATCTGCGCCAGGACTTTCAGGCGCTCCTCCCCACTCATCCAGCGTTCCATGCCCTGTCTGAGGTGGTAGCGGGTGTCTCCGAACCACTTGGTGAGGGCCTTCCGCAAGAGGCCCGTCTGCTTCTGCAGCCGCATGTAGTCCCCCTTGGTGGGCCACTGGCAGGTCAAGAAGAAGTGCCTCAGGAGATCCAGCTGGGCCATGGTCTTGCTGTTGTTCTTCGGCCGTGGGCCCATTTTGAGGTTGACCTAATCTGGTGGGTGGTGTCAGTAGGGTTGTCATGGTTACCGTTGCAGCTCCTGCTTATGATGTCGACATCATCTGCCTGAGACATCCATTTCTTCTTCGGTGGTGGTCTGTCCATGCTGTCATGTTGTGGTGGCGGTGGTTGTGTCAGATGCTGAATGAGCTGTGTCTTTGACGACAGGAGGCCATTGGGCTGTGACTGGCCGTTCTCCTCTGACTCTGGACCTGGTGGTGAAGCGTGAGCGAATAGCGTCGGTTGCAGAACCACTTGCGGATGTACTTCATGTGGAGCCTGGTGAGGGCCTGCAGACAATGGAGCTCCTCCTTCAAAGGCTTTTTGTTACAATCGAAGCTCGGCCACAGCTCTAAGTGAGAGACCTGATAGAGCATGTGGGGTTTGAAGTTGTTTTCATGGGCTTTGTCTCAGGTTTCTAGGGGTTGCCCTGTGGTTGTGGGAGGTGCCACTGAGCGCGGAGGAAGTGGAGAGCTTTGAGGCCCTGCAAGAAAAGTTTGGTGGAGATTGAGCTTATTGGGTGCAACAATGGGGTGGCGTTTACTGCTTTTGAGAGGAACGGGTGAGGAGGACTCTGAGGACAGGCTGCTAAGTTGAGTGGAGGTGGAGACAGGTGAATGTTCGCTCCTGTTACTCCCATCATCCTCCTTACTGATGTGAGGCACTTCCAATACCTTCTCCTTCACCTCTTTCTCCTTTTTGTCTTTCTCCTTCTCCTGCGTCTGGTTTGGTCCGCAAATCTTGCTGCGTGCCTCGCAGATCTCCTCTGCGTCCCAGCTGATCCCGGAGCGCAGCTGTTGGACCATGAACCACAGCCTGACCTAAAATAAGGACAAGAAAATATTATATTGGTTGTTTTCACCTAAATTTGCTTTGTGATATTAAAGCTTGTCAATGAAACTAATTACAGGACATCAAATACAACCAACAATACAACCAACAACATACAGAATATATAGAGTATAAAGTATTCACCCCCCTTGGCATTTTTCCTATATTGTTGCCTTACAACCTGGAATTAAAATTGATTTTTGGGGGGTTTGTATCATTTAATTTACACAACATGCCTACCACTTTGAAGATGCAAAATATTTTAAATTGTGAATCAAACAAGAAATAAGACAACACAAACAGAAAACTTGAGCGTGCATAACTATTCACCCCCCCAAAGTCAATACTTTGTAGAGCCACATTTTGCAGCAATTACAGCTGCAAGTCTCTTGGGGTATGTCTCTATAAGCTTGGCACATCTAGCCACTGGGATTTTTGCCCATTCTTCAAGGCAAAACTGCTCCAGCTCCTTCAAGTTGGATGGGTTCCGCTGGTGTACAGCAATCTTTAAGTCATACCACAGATTCTCAATTGGATTGAGGTCTGGGCTGTGACTAGGCCATTCCAAGACATTTAAATGTTTCCCCTTAAACCACTCAAGTGTTGCTTTAGCAGTATGCTTAGGGTCATTGTCCTGCTGGAAGGTGAACCTCCATCCCAGTCTCAAATCTCTGGAAGACTGAAACAGGTTTCCCTCAAGAATTTCCCTGTATTTAGCGCCATCCATCAGTCCTTCAATTCTGACCAGTTTCCCAGTCTCTGCCGATGAAAAACATCCCCACAGCATGATGCTGCCATCACCATGCTTCACTGTGGGGATGGTGTTCTCGGGGTGATGAGAGGTGTTGGGTTTGCGCCAGACATAGCGTTTTCCTTGATGGCCAAAAACTCAATTTTAGTCTCATCTGACTAGAGTACCTTCTTCCATCTGTTTGGGGAGTCTCCCATATGCCTTTTGGCGAACACCAAACGTGTTTGCTTATTGTTTTCTTTAAGCAATGGCTTTTTTCTGGCCACTCTTCCGTAAAGCCCAGCTCAGTGGAGTGTACGGCTTAAAGTAGTGGTCCTCTGTAGCTCAGCTGGTAGAGCACGGCGCTTGTAACGCCAAGGTAATGGGTTCGATCCCCGGGACCACCCATACACAAAAAAAAAATATGTATGCACGCATGACTGTAAGTCGCTTTGGATAAAAGCGTCTGCTAAATGGCATATTATTATTATTATTAAAGTGGTCCTATGGACAGATACTTCAATCTCCGCTGTGGAGCTTTGCACCTCCTTCAGGGTTATCTTTGGTCTCTTTGTTGCCTCTCTGATTAATGCCGTCCTTGACTGGTCCGTGAGTTTTGGTGGGCGGCCCTCTCTGGCAGGTTAGTTGTGGATTTAATGGTGCTCCGTGGGATGTTCAAAGTTTCTGATATTTTTTTATAAACCAACCCTGATCTGTACTTCTCCACAACTTTGGCCCTGACCTGTTTGGAGAGCTCCTTGGTCTTGCTTGGTGGTGCCCCTTGCTTAGTGGTGTTGCAGAATCTGGGGCCTTTCAGAACAGGTATATATATACTGAGATCATGTGACAGATCATTTGACACTTAGATTGCACACAGGTGGACTTTATTTAACTAATTATGTGACTTCTGAAGGTAATTGGTTGCACCAGATCTTATTTAGGGGCTTCATAGCAAAGGGGGTGAATACATTTGCACTCACCGCTTTTCCGTTATTTATCTTTTAGAATTTTTTTCATTTCTCTTCACCAATTTGGACTATTTTGTGTATGTCCATTACATGAAATCCAAATAAAAATCCATTTAAATTACAGGTTGTAATGCAACAAAATAGGAAAAACGCCAAGGGGGATGAATACTTTTGCAAGGCACTGTACAGGACATCAAATACAACCAACAACATACAGAATATATAGAGGAGTGGTTGCCCTGATACATGGCTACTGACCCCTAATGGCTGCTGACCCCTAATGGCTGCTGAACCCTAATGGCTGCTGACCCCTAATGGCTGCTGGAAGGAGCTGCTAATGGAAAGATGCTGACCAAGGACCACGCATTAGTAGTTTGCCAAAGCTATCTCGAAGTCAACTAGGAGTGAATGCCCCCCTCACTTCCCACAGCAGGCCCTGAGGGAGGGGAGGGATCTGGGCCGGGGATGGAGGACGGGCATGGTGGTGGTGGTATTGGGGTGGCTGATCTGTATGTTAAGGCTGGAGCTAACTCAGTCTTCTTCTCTGTGAGCTTAGCTGCAACAGTTGGATCCAGATGCTTGTCCATCTCTCTGCTGCCTGCTTTCTTTTGGTCATCACCGCACTCCTATTATGATGAATATAGAATTTAATATACTCTTCCACCGGATGTACAATAAACAACAAAGGTGTTATTAGGGGTTCAGCATTCTTGTTAACAAACTATAGTTTTGGCAAGTCGGTTAGGACATCTACTTTGTGCATGACACAAGTCATTTTTCCAACAATTGTTTACAGAGAGATTATTTCACTTATAATTCACTGTATCACAATTCCAGTGGGTCAGAAGTTTACATACACTAAGTTGACTGTGCCTTTAAACATCTTGGAAAATTCCAGAAAATGATGTCATGGCTTTAGAAGCTTCTGATAGGGTAATTGACATTATTTGAGTCAATTGGAGGTGTACCTGTGGATGTATTTCAAGGCCTACCTTCAAACTCAGTGCCTCTTTGCTTGACATCATGGGAAAATCTAAAGAAATCAGCCAAGATCTCAGAAAAAACATTGTAGACCTCCACATGTCTGGTTCATCCTTGGGAGCAATTTCCAAACGCCTGAAGGTACCACGTTCATCTGTACAAACAATAGTATGCAAGTATAAACACCATGGGACCACGCAGCCGTCATACCGCTCAGGAAGGAGATGCGTTCTGTCTCCTAGAGATGAACGTACTTTGGTGCGAAAAGTGCAAATCAATCCAGAACAACAGCAAAGGACCTTGTAAAGATGCTTGAGGAAACAGGTACAAAAGTATCTATATCCACAGTAAAACAAGTCCTATATCAATATAACCTGAAAGGCTGCTCAGCAAGGAAGAAGCCACTGCTCCAAAACCTCCATAAAAAAGCCAGACTATGGTTTGCAACTGCACATGGGGACAAAGATCGTACTTTTTGGAGAAATGTCCTCTGGTCTGATGAAACAAAAATAGAACTGTTTGGCCATAATGACCATCATGTTTGGAGGAAAAAGGGGGTGACTTGCAAGCTGAAGAACACCGTGAAGCACGGGGTGGGAGCATCATGCTGTGGGGGTGCTTTGCTGCAGGAGGGACTGGTGCACTTCACAAAATAGATGGCATCATGAGGAAGGAAAATTATGTGGATATATTGAAGCATCTCAAGACATCAGTCAGGAAGTTAAAGCTTGGTCGCAAATGGGTCTTCCAAATGGACAATGACCCCAAGGATACTTCCAAAGTTGTGGCAAAATGGCTTAAGGACAACAAAGTCAAGGTACTGGAGAGGCCATCACAAAGCCCTGACCTCAATCCTATAGAACATTTGTGGGCAGAACTGAAAAAGCATGTGCGAGCAAGGAGGCCTACAAACCTGACTCAGTTACACCAGCTCTGTCAGGAGGAATGGGCCAAAATTCACCCAACTTATTGTGGGAAGCTTGTGGAAAGCTACCCGAAACGTTTGACCAATGTTAAACATTTTAAAGGCAATACTACCAAATACTAACTGAGTGTATGTAAACTTCTGAGCCACTGGGAATGAGATGAAAGTAATAAAAGCTGAAATAAATACTTTTCTCAACTATTATTCTGACATTTCACATTCTTAAAATAAAGTGGTGATCATAACATAATTTTTACCAGGATTAAATGTCAGGAATTGTGAAAAACTGAGTTTAAATGTATTTGGCTAAGGTGTATGTAAAATTCCGACTTCAACTGTAGGTACAGTGGGGAAAAAAAGTATTTAGTCAGCCACCAATTGTGCAAGTTCTCCCACTTAAAAAGATGAGAGAGGCCTGTAATTTTCATCATAGGTACACGTCAACTATGACAGACAAAATGAGGAAAAAAAATCCAGAAAATCACATTGTAGGATTTTTAATGAATTTATTTGCAAATTATGGTGGAAAATAAGTATTTGGTCAATAACAAAAGTTGATCAATACTTTGTTATATACCCTTTGTTGGCAATGACACAGGTCAAACGTTTTCTGTAAGTCTTCACAAGGTTTTCACACACTGTTGCTGGTATTTTGGCCCATTCCTCCATGCAGATCTCCTCTAGAGCAGTGATGTTTTGGGGCTGTCGCTGGGCAACACAGACTTTCAACTCCCTCCAAAGATTTTCTATGGGGTTGAGATCTGGAGACTGGCTAGGCCACTCCAGGACCTTGAAATGCTTCTTACGAAGCCACTCCTTCGTTGCCCGGGCGGTGTGTTTGGGATCATTGTCATGCTGAAAGACCCAGCCACATTTCATCTTCAATGCCCTTGCTGATGGAAGGAGGTTTTCACTCAAAATCTCACGATACATGGCCCCATTCATTCTTTCCTTTACACGGATCAGTCGTCCTGGTCCCTTTGCAGAAAAACAGCCCCAAAGCATGATATTTCCACCCCCATGCTTCACAGTAGGTATGGTGTTCTTTGGATGCAACTCAGCATTCTTTGTCCTCCAAACACGACGAGTTGAGTTTTTACCAAAAAGTTCTCTTTTGGTTTCATCTGACCATATGACATTCTCCCAATCCTCTTCTGGATCATCCAAATGCACTCTAGCAAACTTCAGACGGGCCTGGACATGTACTGTCTTAAGCAGGGGGACACGTCTTGCACTGCAGGATTTGAGTCCCTGGCGGCATAGTGTGTTACTGATGGTAGGCTTTGTTACTTTGGTCCCAGCTCTCTGCAGGTCATTCACTAGGTCCCCCCGTGTGGTTCTGGGATTTTTGCTCACCGTTCTTGTGATCATTTTGACCCCACGGGGTGAGATCTTGCGTGGAGCCCCAGATCGAGGGAGATTATCAGTGGTCTTGTATGTCTTCCATTTCCTAATAATTGCTCCCACAGTTGATTTCTTCAAACCAAGCTGCTTACCTATTGCAGATTCAGTCTTCCCAGCCTGGTGCAGGTCTACAATTTTGTTTCTGGTGTCCTTTGACAGCTCTTTGGTCTTGGCCATAGTGGAGTTTGGAGTGTGACTGTTTGAGGTTGTGGACAGGTGTCTTTTATACTGATAACAAATTCAAACAGGTGCCATTAATACAGGTAACGAGTGGAAGACAGAGGAGCCTCTTAAAGAAGAAGTTACAGGTCTGTGAGAGCCAGAAATCTTGCTTGTTTGTAGGTGACCAAATACTTATTTTCCACCATAATTTGCAAATAAATTCATAAAAAATCCTACAATGTGATTTTCTGGATTTTTTTTCCTCAATTTGTCTGTCATAGTTGACGTGTACCTATGATGAAAATTACAGGCCTCTCTCATCTTTTTAAGTGGGAGAACTTGCACAATTGGTGGCTGACTAAATACTTTTTTTCCCCACTGTATATATGGCAAGGACAAAATGTGCCTCAAGGAACCATAAAGTCTGCCATGATGGATTTTTCGGCATTTTGATATAAAAAAAAAAAAAAACTTTAAACACTACTCCTCTGGAACCGAATGACCAATCTGCACAAAACTTAATACGTGGCATCTATGGACCAAGGTCTCTCAAAGCAATATTTTCCAGGCTTGAACCAAAAACAACGCTATTGACCAATATACATGCACGTGGTCTCGCTCATAAATCCCTATAAATCAGTCACAAATATTTGTATTGTAACAATACTTGGTACACATGTTACAAACACTGTCAAGGCTCAACATATGCAAGCACCTTCATATCGACCTCACTCTGGCACTATAACGGGCACATTGGTATATCTTTTGATCTGTTTGACTCAGACTGATGAAATTTGGCACACATGTTCAGGGATATGAGTCTAGATAGCCTGTAAAGCATGGTTAAGTATGGACACATTGTGGCGTTGTTGGACAGGAAAAAATCATTAATGCAAGCTTATTGCTTATAGCGGCCATATTGTTTAGCTAGAGTTTTGGAAAATATGTGCATTCATAGATGCTATATACCACATTTGGTGCCGATCGGTCCAGCGGTTCTGGAGATGGTCCAAAATACATCAAAAGCATGTTACCCGCATATTGCATGATTCATTCTAATATTTGGCAAGTGTGGTAAACAGTACAGAAGTAATTCGTCCTAGGGCAATGTGTCAAATTGTTCCTGATGGTGGCACAGTTGTCCCATAGCTGAACCCCGTTATTGCTGCTTGCAGCTATATTTACATGTGTTGTTGTTGTCCAGTGCTTGACTTGTACTGAAATAGGTCCTGGTACTCATTTTGGGTGCCTGTACTGTTTATATTTAGGCGCAAGAACTCCACAATACTTTTAGCCAATATTTTATAAGAGGTGCAGGATCTTACGCAGTAGAAAATGTGAGATGCTGTTACTCAGTACCATTGAGCTCCTGCCCAAGTCAGGCGCTTTTGCGAATGTGCATTGGGTGGGCCTGGGAGCCATGGGTGGGCTAATCAGAATGAGTTTTTCCCCACAAAAGGGCTTTATTACAGACAGAAATACTCCTCAGTTTCATCAGCTCTCCGGGTGGCTGGTCTCAGACAATCCCATGGGCGAAGAAGCCGGATGTGGAGGTCCTGGGCTGGCGTGGTTACACGTGGTCTGCGGTTGTGAGGCCGGTTGGACATACTGACAAATTCTCTAAAATTAAGTTGGAGGTGGCTTCGTAGGTGGTTTGAAATGTGGCTTGAAATATCCCATTCCATGTGATTTTTGGCTGTTCAGACTGCAGGAAAAATAACAGATTTGAATCGGATATGCAAAACATCTGTATTTGAGTCACTTCAAACTGTGTCTGACTTTAGGTGGCCTCAGATGCACCTCCCCTTTTGACTTCAGTAGTTGTGTGTAACCGTCTGCATTAGTTTAACTCTCGAACACACCCATTTCCTGTCATCTACTTAGCAAGGCATATTTTTGGGCGACGCGACTAAATTCACATAGAAATGTTTAGTATAGATCTATCATACTCATTGAAAGTAAGTCTAAGAAGCAGTAGATCCATTCTATGTGCCCTATTTCTAAATTGTCCGTTAAATGTTGTTTTTTTCATCTTTTTACTTTCGGTTTTGTACAACGTCATCTGACAGCTGAAAATACAATGTTTTATTGAAAGGATATTTCACAGTGCTTTAGATTGTACAACGATTCACTTGTTTTGTTACATAAACTTAAATTAGGCGAACCATTATAATTTTAGCAACCAGAAACTTTTGGTGGACTGACGCATATATTGCACGAGGTGGCCTCAAACCCAGATCAGACCAGAGACAGAACGAACAAAAGCAAACGGACCGAAAGGTAAAAAGTTTACATTTGAAGCATTATATGGGCTACGAGGCTAGAGCTATTTTAGCAGGCGAAGGTCAAGGACAACGCAAAGCACCCGATTCCCACCACCATTTATTGGGGCAGCTTCAACTGAACCAGGGCTCACAGAAGACATGTCTGAGGGGTGCCAGTCTCTGCCGCTGCCTGAGATCCAGGCCGTTGTTTGTGACATGTGTGTGGATGACAAAAAGCCAGCGTTGAAGACCTGCATGAAATGTGAGATGTCCATGTGTGCCCAGCACTTGGAGCCGCACCTGACAGTGCCATTGCTGCTGCAGACACATACCCTGACTGAACCCATAGCACGGGCTGGGGATGCCGGACTTTGACAGTGCTGTGGGACTGCCTGA